TGGAAGAAATATTCGGAGTTGGTCCCGTGGATGTAGCCTTAAATAGTTGAGGGTGAACCACGAGAATAGTTTGAGGTGTGAAACCACGTAAATTCCCGTGGACATAGCCCTAAATAGTTGAGGGTGAACCACGTAAATTTCTGTGTGTCCCATTTCTATTTTTCCGCTGCCGTATTATTCTCGTATTTTTATTGCCGGTATCGTAACATAAGCAATTTTCAAGACTTGTATACTTTGAAAACCTAAAAGAAGTTGAGATTGATAACTGCAATGACTTGATGGAAATCTCATGTGTTCGATATTCACCAAATGGAGAAATTCTGAATATAATGAATTGTGAGAAGTTAGTCAACATAATTGATAATGATGCGCGTGCAGATTTGTTTAGTAACGTAAAGCAGCTGCATTTGGGTAATCTCCCTTGACTGAAATGTATTTGCAGATGTGTTCACTTTCCTTGCCTTGAAGAACCTATAATGATCAATTGTCCATCGCTAAAGAGGCTTTCATTTAATTCTTCTACCAGCAATGAATCTCTAGAGCGGAAAAAAACGAGAAGAAAAATGATGGTATAATATAGATTGGGAAGATAAACCAAAAACTTGTTTTTCATCTTTCTTTGAGGTTATTTGATTGGTTATCTTTATTCGTACAAGTAACTTATTTTACAATCACAAATGTAATTTACTATTATTTATTAAGGAATATATTATAAAATTTATAATTCGATAAAATAAAAAATAAAACTCATTAGAAATATATATGTATATATAATATATAATTACAAGTAACACGTTATATTAGCAAATTACATAAAACGTTGAAAGAAATTTTTTTTCTTAAAAAAGGCGACCATAAAACTAACTATATACTCATAGATTTTTGCAAAAAGTAAAAAAAAATATATATATATATATATATATAAAAATTAAAGACAATTGCTCCAAAACAATAATTAAGATATAATAATTATAAAGCTAAATAATTGATTTTCATATATATTTAGTAATATAACGATTTATAATATGTATATATAATATTTATATTATAAAAATAAAAGTCCAATTAAATTTTAAATTGTTACAAGGAAATTAAAAATTTAGATTGATAAGTAATTTTTAGTTTAATATATTTAAATTAAAAATTACTTGCAACAAGTTTAATAATCCAAATTAGGAGCTATAAAGGAACGTTAAAAACATATGTTTTTTATTTTCTAATTCATGTATTTCATATTTTAGTAATATAAACGATTTATAATATTATATTATATTATATATAAAAAATAAAGTCAATTAAATTTAAATTGTTACAAGAAAATTAAAAATTAGTTGATAAGTAATTTTAGTAATATATTAAATTAAAATTACTTGCAACAAGTTAATATCAATGAGTATAAAGAACGTAAAACATATGTTTTTTTTATTCTAATTCATGTATTAGTTTTATGAAGATCTATCTCTTTTGCTGGTCAATTGTTTATTCAAATTATTTACTTAGAATAGTAATTATTTTTGCTATAATTGATATTCACTAATTGTTTATAATTTCTAGAGATTTTTTTAAATGATGCTTTTCATTCTTGTATTTATTTCATATTATCAATGTGCTAGAAAAATGGAATTTCAATCCGTTTCTTTTGTTAAATTTCTAATATTGTTATTGAATTAATTTTTTGAATATCCTCAATTGTTTATTCAAATTATTTTTTATTTAGAATCGAAATTAATCTTTGCTATTATTTCTTGATCTTTCGTATAGAAATTAAATTTTAATGTTCACGCTTTGTAGACCACTTGATACATAAGAATTGATTATAAAAGTACACATAAAAATTTCTTTACAATTACCAATATTAATTATTAATTTTTGAATATATAGCAAATTTATGAAGATTGGCAGGGATTTATCATGCCTCGAGACATTAATGTTCATTAGTTAGTGTTTCTTCCGGGCTCACTCCCTCCTTGTATAAAAAACATTTAGATTCAAATAGGAAATTAATAATATAATCTATCAATATTAAACTTTATTTTTTAACCAATAAAAATAAAATTGTTAAATCAATCACATGTGATTTAGTTGGTCTTCTCACTTATATGATAAGTGAGAGGTCTCAAATTTGAGTCTTTTTAAGCACAAGAGTTTTCGTCACTTTGAGATTTTACTTGGGAGAGTCAATAGGCTGAAATTCTAGTGTCGGCTGCACAACAAGAGTAGCTCTTCCATTACTTATCGAATTGATGAAAACTTTTGTGGTCAAGAGGATTCGAACTCAAGATCTCCCACTATTCATATAAGTGAAAAGACTAATCAGATCACATGTAATTGGCATAACTTTTAATAATTTTAATTCACAACGATTTATTATTTTAATATATCTAATATCTTTATCCACAAGCACGTTATTCTTGTTTACTAGCGGTATGCATGGGTTGAATGGGAGAAAATTACATAATTTTCAGTTATGTCTTAAAATATTGGAATATAAAAAATAGAGTTTAATTTCTTTCCCACTAGGTATGTAGTTTCATTCTATTCCATCCCATTTTTTTGAAACAAGACAAGACGAAAATTCCGGTCTATGGGACAACATAGAATGGATCATATCGAGAATTAATCATGATTTCCCTTATTCTTCCTAAATTATCTTTTTCACTAAAAAAGATAAAATTATTATAATCATCACAATTTGAATTTGATACTTAATTTAATATTGAATATTATTTAAAAGTAAACAATAATATAATTAAGCTGATATTCATGAATATGATTTGAAATTCATAAAAGAAACAACACCTAGAATTTTAAAGATAAATTGAGATGAGAATACTTGATTTTTGAGATGAACATGATGGAAGTGGAACTTGGATCGATAAGAGCTGATTTTAATAAAAGACCAGTCTCATTTCATAATTACTTTTAAGATGGGATTCCAGACGGAACTATCAAAATAAATCGTATATTTCGAGATAGAAAATTCGGGATGAATTCCGGCGTACCCATGCATACCCGTATTGTTTACTGTGAGAATATATTATAGTACAAGAGGAAGCTATCGATTTTTTTTTTTTAAAGGTAGGCTGAAATAAATTTATAATTTAATATGTCGAATATATATATAGTTATATTTCTTTTCTGGTTTAATCTCATTATTACTAGTCCTTCCATTAATCTACTGCATTTAATTATACGGTAATTGTTTAATCAAGTACCCGATATTATATTAGCTGAAATTTTAATCAAAGACATAAGTGATTTGTGACCACCGTTCGATGAGATTACTTGAAAACGTGTCACAGAGATGTGCAGTACACTGCCATTTGTATATATTATATTTTTTTTATAAAGAATAATGTTTTTTTACTTTTTCATAGCAAATCTTGTTTAAGAACGTATCAAATACAAGTACCCGTATAACACTGTAATCCTTTTTATGAGATTTAACATTTCAAAGTTTTAGAAATAAGAATTATAGGGCTTTACCCCGAGGGAGCCCTTCCAGAAATTCTCGACGGCCAAGGTCAAGCCCAGGCCGAAGAGGGGGTTTGGAAATAGTTTTCAACCAGCAATAGACGCGCCTCGGTTAGAACCTCACTAGCTGCGTCATTGCCCCAAGCGCAAAGACAATTCGTTCTATCTTTGAGAACCTATTTTGTAGCACCGCACCCTTTTGCTTCATTTTCTACTTAAGCGATGTGGGATTTTGGCTTGTCATAAGTATCATCCTGCTCGTCATATCCGCGCAGCTAGATGCTCATCTCATTATTGGAATGAAATGAGTTGCAGATCATAAAAATTTCTTCAATTTTTACATGGAGTCAATCAAATTTCTATCTTTTTTTATTAAAGGTACTAATTGAAAGTAACTCAGTAAACGTTTTATTTATGTTTGATCATAAATAAAAAAATACATAGTTCTTTCGAATTGTTAGATAAATAATAATTTGCATTTTAAAATTAGCAAATAATAAGTATACACAGTAACCTAGTTAAAACATTAGTCTTTCATCGAACAAAGGCGATTTAGGAATATAATCTAAATAAAATAAAAACCAGTTAATGTGGATAATTACTCTAGATGTCAAGTTCCATGCCTTAATATAATCTTTGACTGTCATGTTCCATGCCTTATAATCTGACCCTCGATGCAATTTAGGAATTTGGTGTGAACCTGAAGAATTCTGGGATATCCTCACAATAAAATATATTTTATTACTATTAAAAGACACACGACACCCTGTGTAAAAGGGATCCATTGGAGCTCCCAAATGTTAGTTACAATTAAATTTCATAGAATTTGTGAGCAATTTTAATAAGAAAATAAAAAGTTGACTAAGAAGTATATAATATTAGTATCAAATGCTAATTAATTATCATGTATACATATTATAAGAAAATAGTCTTCTTTTCTCTAAACAAAAACAATCGGATTGCAACAATATTATATTTTGCTTTTATAGTTATAGAGTAATATACATAAAAAAATTTGTAGGGATAATAAGAGGTAAAGCACGTGTAAATTCAACAAACAATCTCTGTAAAAGTCAGGATTTCAATCTCTGAATGTAAACTCAACAAACAATCTTGTAAAGTCAGGATTTCAATCTTTGAAAAAATACCTACTGAGAGGAGAACGAAATTAGTCTCATTTACTATGCTTAATTTTTCTGAAAGATGTACATCTGTGTTCAAATAATTTTCTGAATCCCATGCCAAAATGGGCAAAATTAGTGAATATTGATTTAATATGCATTAAAAAAGGCCTAGCTTACGTTCTCAACAGATATAGGAAATAGAGTTGTTAATAATTTTCTAAGCAAGGTTAAGATCTGTATCTATAGCTATTTTATTAGATCCCACGGCATGAAACACCACGGTTCTGCCTGTTTTGATCACCTATTGATATTTTTCAACAGCTATAAATACTCCTGTAGAGAGGCCCCTTTCCACGAGACAAAGAGCCTACGTAAAAAATTAATCTTATACCATATTCAACAATGGCTTACCTCCAAAATTCCATTTTTGAAACCCAAATCTCAGCCGAGCATCTCATAGCTCGCATTACTGAAATCCATAATAGCGTGTCCAAACTCGATTCGCTAAGGCCTTCGAAACAAGTCAATACCCTCCTGACTAACCTTGTCAACGTATGTATCCTTCCATCGTCTATAGATATTAAAACTTTATCCCCACAAGTGCAAGAAATGCGCAATAGCCTCATTAATATCTGCGGTCGAGCTGAAGGTCTATTAGAGCTTGAATTCGCAATCTTTCTAAACAAAATCCCAGAACCCGTAAACAACCTTAATCTTTTTCCTTATTATGGGAACTATGTGAAGCTAGCAAACATGGAAATCAGAATATTGAATGAAAATGGAATAGTGCAGCCTAAGAGAGTAGCCTTTGTAGGATCAGGGCCAATGCCTTTAACTTCTCTTGTAATGGCTACAAATCACTTGAAATCAACTCATTTTGATAATTTTGATATTGATGAGTCTGCAAATTATGTGGCACGACAGATTGTGGCTTCAGATACTGATCTTGAAAAGAGAATGAAGTTCCATACTTGTGATGTAATGGAAGTGAAGGAAAAATTTGGAGAATATGATTGCATTTTCTTGGCTGCTTTGGTTGGAATGAGCAAAGAAGAAAAGGTGAAGATTCTTGGGCATGTACGGAAGTATATGAAAGCAGGAGGGAATTTGTTATTAAGAAGTGCAAATGGAGCAAGAGCATTTCTTTACCCTGTGATTGAAGAGGATGACTTGATTGGCTTTGAGGTTCTATCTATCTTTCACCCGAATAACGAAGTTATCAATTCAGTTGTTCTTGTGCGCAAGCCTAGCTTTTAATTATGTGGTGGTTTTTTAAATATAGAAATGTATGTTTTCAATAATCACTAGAGAGGTAATTATCCCTTCTCTAGTTTTTAATTTTCTTCACAGTTAGTGTATTTGTCGTTTGTTCCTGTAAACTTTTTTTTTTTTAGTATTAGGACAGCAGATTCCAACCTTGATCTATTGTCAGGTCTTAATGCATTTGCCACTATTTTATACCTTGATATGTTTCTGTAAATCTTACTATATATGGTGATAGTCGTGCATTTATATATTTGCTTATTTAAAAGAGTGATGCTGGAAATATTTTTATATTTTTATTTAACGGTAATATACGTGACGTGATCCAGTCAAATCGAGACCGGACTAATAAAAAAAATATTTAGAGTCTATATTCAGAATTTAAGTTATTTTGAATTCTTATTTTCCTTAAAAGTATGCAGGGTGTCCAAGGATAGCCAATATCTATCAATTGCAATTTTCCCACAAGCGGAATTGGACCCATGATCTCATTTCTAACACTTTCATGTAGCTCTATTCATTAAGATTAATGTATATATTGCATCCTATTCACTTTTTAAATTTTAATTTTTTTTTTCAACCGTGCTAAAGAAAAAACAAGGTTAATGTAACCATTTAATGGCCTTTTATATGCTCCAGTTTAAGTTTTGTGTACCAATTATTTTTGTAATAGAAAAGACTGTCTGATTTTTTTTTCTTTTTTTTATATCATGAAAATGATTCGAATCTAAATTTATTTTTAGGTCATACATGCATTTAAGTCATACTTTTATCTTTTTTAACTCGACTTACAAATACTCTATCTGGCGCGTTTATATTTACATTTGAAGAAAATATTTTCTTATTATTTTTTCTATATGAATATATAAGAAAAGCAGAAACGGATTCTTATAATTATTAAGTATACTTTATATCTTATTATAGTCTTTATGAATATATATATATATATATATATTTTTCTTATTATTTTTTCTATTATGAATATATAAGAAAAGCAGAAACGGGATTCTTAATTATTAAGTATACTATATATCTTATTATAGTCTTTATGAATATATATATATATATATAAATATAGATTGAATTACATAGTATGAATTGATTTATGGAATTATATATATAATGAATTACATAGTAAATGAATTGATTTTATGAATTAATTGAATCATCGAAAACAATGTAAAGCACAAAACAAATAAAAATAAATAATGCAAACAACACACTTGTGTGTACAAGACAAAAAATAAAGTCAATAGTTTTCACCAAATTGTCGGTGAAAGGTTATTGCGTAGCTCACTGGTTATTGTGACTCGTTAGGCAGAATAAAAAATCAAGACAAAATACAATTAAATTGCCATACTGACTTTTGTTCCTACAGCTTCAAACCAGCTGATTGGTGACATAACACTCAGTAGGAAGGCCTCGTGGAAATCGTCCAGTGTCTTTGCAGTAATCATATTTCATGTAACTATCTTGCACCCATTTCATCTGACCTTGTTCAGCATAATCAAGCATTCAAGCTCCTCCCAAAGCCATGAATTATAGTCAGCCACATGAAGATGTTCCATTAGACCATACACAGGCATTGACACTGAAGTTTCTGTAAGAAGCAACGAATGAAGCTTGAGTCCAATCTGTCTTTACAAGAACCCTTCTTGTAGCCTAATCATCAGCATTCCAGAGACTTGAGTAAATTTTCATTGGTTGATAACTTGGAAATGGAACTCCACTAGATTCCAAGCTCTTGAATTCTCTAAAAGGAATGCCAATTAGCATGTTATCAGGTCAGCCAATGAGCAAGTTATCGGGTCATCTTTCTTTTATTGTTATCTCATTAATATATATTTGTATGACAAATTAAATTTTAAGTACGACAATGATTACCTATATAATTCAGGTACGACCCGTGAAATTAATCCTACTTGTGCGCTGTGAACCAAATAACACTATACTCTTGAAGTAATACTACATATCAAAGCATTTATGACACTTAGTAACCCTTTATTTGTTTACCAAGCATTAAATATTACATATACAATAAAATAAAGGCATACAGGGGTACCGGATCAAAAATAAGTATCAAGGACTTTTCTTTTTATTGATTGATTAAGCAATTTATTTATATAATCCTAAAAAAAAAAATTTACAAAAAAGCTGAGTTCGCACTCTTTAATCTCAGATTTTCCTTTTTCCTGTTTTTACAAATTTTCTAATTTCTTAAAGATTTTTTAATTATTTATTATTAACTAATTTTAATTTTTAAATAATCTTTTCCTTTTTTTAGGTTTTATGATAGCTTATTATTGTTATAGATAATTTAGAAACGCAACCTAAAAAAACACTCCTCTCACCAACCTAATCTCCTATGAATCTCCGACGAATCTTCGGCGAATTCCAGTGCATCAGGTTGAGTTAAGATCAACTCTACTCTTCTTTTTGTTTCATCACTTTCCTTCATAATCTTAAATTGTCTTTTCTTTCGCCGACCATTCCGTCCAACCCTATTAATCTCTAATAATTCTCAGTCGCCGTCAATTCCGACATAGTTCATTTCGCCGTTAATGGACTCTGTGAGATCTCATCGGCACCGTCAATTATGGCATAGTTTATTTCGCCGATAATGGACTCTGTGAGGTACTTACTCATACCCATCTTCTCCTTCTTCTAATTATCAGTTCAAAAATTTAAACTTTGTTAATATCTTTGTATAAAGATTTTGAATATACCGAAAAGAAAAAAGGGACCAGGAAAAGCAACTAAAAGCAAGAAAACAGAATATATATAAAGCAACTAAAAGCAAGAAAAACAGAATATATATATATATACTATTATATATATATAATAATTTAAAGCAAAAAAAAATATATATATATAATTCTAAAGCAAAAAAACTTACAAAAGCTGAGTTGGCACTCTCTAGTTGGCACTCTCTAATCTCGACCTTTTCTTTTTCCTGGTTTTTACAAATTTTCTAATTTCTTAAAGATTTTTTAATTATTTATTATTAACTACTTTTAATTTTTAAATTATCTTTTCCTTTTTTTGGGTTTTTATGATAGCTTATTATTGTCATGGATAATTTAGAAATCGCAACCTAAGAAATACTCCCCTCACTGACCTAACCTCCTATGAATCCCCGACGAATCTTTGGCGAATTCCAATGCATCAGGTTGAGTTAAGATCAACTCTACTCTTCTTTTTGTTTCATCACTTTCCTTCATAATCTCAAGTTGTCTTTTCTGTCGCCAATCCTTCTATCCAACTCTATTAATCTCTAATAAATCTCAGTTGCCATCAATTCCAACGTAGTTCATTTCACCATTACTGGACTCTGTGAGGTACTTACTCGTACTCATCTTTTCTTTCTTCTAATTATTAGCTCAAAATTTTAAACTTTGATAATATATCCAAATAATTAATTGATCAATAATTTCCCTTTATATATTCCAGAAAATACAAATAGTTCAATTTGAACTCTTAATAATTTCTCAATAATTAATTTATTTTGAGAACAAACTAAGCATGGATAATTCAATAAATTTGAAGAGACTTTTAGTGCTTCAGTAAATAATTTATATAAGGATCAAATTTTCTTTTTTCGCATCATTGATCGGGATGGTCCATGCCAAATAATATAAGTACTTAGATTTGTAAATTTCTAGTTTATAATTATATTTATTTCAATCATTATCTCTATATGATATCCATTTTGATGAATATTTTTGGAGTGATACATTATGCATAAAATTCATTCCTCTAGGTAGTAATACTTGCTTTTCCGGAGTTTTTAAATATTTTTTACAATCAAAGTCTAATTTGCCTTTCAATATTTTTGTATATAACAAGTACATAATCAATATCTATATATGCCACCTTATTTGTTTCGCTTTTGGTGATAAATTTTATTCTTAATTCTACAGCCACTATTTGTTAAGATCATTACTTCAATTGTGATTTTATTGATATTTTAAATGACAAGTATATCTTTTTCATTGTTCATGTCCACACACAATTTCATATATTATTGCATTCACTTCAGGAAATACATCAAATCTAATTGGATAGATTTGAATACTCCCATGTCCAGCATTATATGTCATTCCATTCAGTTCAAGGAATAGAAAAAATTTAATTAGACAAGCTTCATGATATTAATTAATTAAGAGCTCAATATTTTGCTCAATGAGAGAAAGAGATGAAATAAATCCAAAGTTTATTATAAAATTTTTCTCTCGATATTACTACTTCAGGAGCATATTTGAGGTATAAGTATCATTGACAATTCTAGATCAATGCCAATATAGTTCCAAATATAATAACGAGAATATCTTAATTATATTTAAACATAAATCAATCAATTCTCAAAATTGCTAGCACATTAATAATATATGCCAATGTATAATAATAATGTTAGCCTCTTTTGTTGAATGTTGAAAATAAAAGAAAAAAAATAATATAAAATTAACTTTTGCTCAATCCCACATCGGGGAGATTGAGATTTGAGGGTAGGTGAAAAATTATATAACCATTAATTTTGCTCAATCCCGACATCGGGGAGATTTGAGATTTGGAGGTAGGTGGTTTGGTTATAAAGGAAGCTAATGTTTAGCTTTCCAAACACATTAGACCAAAAACACACCTTGAACGTGTTTATATATTAAGGGAGTCTTTTTGCGAATCCCTTGGGAGTATAAAAATATTTTGGGGTGTTTTGAGGGTGTCAAAGTAGAAAAGATATTTTTGGTATATTGTGGTTGTAACAATTTGCCGCATAGTGAATATTTTTCTTGATTGTCGTTTGGCCCAACGGGGGCCGTAGGTTTTTCTCCACTTGGGGAGTTTTCCCACGTTAAATTATCGTGTTCTCTTTAATTTTCTCAGTCAATTATTTTGATTCTCATCATTTTGTTCCTTGCTTGAAGCCTGGGTCCATAGCCTCCCCCTTGGGTAAGTATTGTTCCGCCTTTGGGGCGTTTACCATGCGCCGTCCCCTCACGGTTTTTGTCCCCTCAGGGCAGGCTTTGGCAACCCAGCCCAAAAGGCGCCTTACCAGTTGAAGGAACCACCCCTCTTATGTATAAGGACCGCCCCTCGTACTTTAACCGTATGGGATTTGCCTAAGGGTGTCACAATACACCCCCCCT